GCTTCCCAGGGGATCCTGCCCATGAGTTCCCTGAGGAAGCTGAAGTCTGCTTGTCTGAAGTCCAGGGGCCTTACTCTGCTGCTCTCCATCCTCTTCCTCAGGGTCCTGAACTCAATCATGGCATGGTCCCTGCTGCCCAAGTTGCCATCCACTACTACATTCCCCACCAATTCATTTGGCACTGGGGAGGCCACATCTGGAGTCCTGTGTCCAGCTGTGGGCCCCCACTACAGAAAGGATGTGGACAATTTGGAGAGAGTCCAGCGGACGGCAATGAAAATGGCTGTGGGGCTGGGGGACAGGACTGGTGAGGAGAGGCTGAGGGAAATGGGCTGATGGAGTCTGCAGAAGAGGAAACCGAGGCGGGATTTCACAGCAGCCTTCAGATCCCTGCAGGGGGTTGCAAAGAGGATGGAGCTGGACTGGTCTCAGTGGGGGCAGATACAGGCCAAGGAGTAATGGGCTCGAGCTGCAGCAAGGGAAGTTGAGGTTGGATATTAGGAAACATTTTCTCACTAGGAGGGTGGTGAAGCACTGGAATGAGTCACCTAGAGGGGTGGTGGAGTCTCCATCCTTGGAGGTTTTGAAGACCCGGCTAGACAACTCCTTGGGTGGGATGATGTAGTTGGGGCTGGTCCTGCTTTGAACAGGGGGTTGGACTAGATGTGATCCTCTGAGGTCCCTGCAACCCTCGTTTTCTATGATTGTGTGACTCCGTTACCTCTGTGGAGCTGTCAGACGTCAGTTCAGTACGCGTTAGGTAATACCATGTGCAGACGCTCCTTGCCAGAAAAGCCCATAGCACATTTTACTGCTTGAATACTTAGAAGCTTGCATGGTAAGTGCAGTTACATGCTCTAAGTGTGACGTATGCCAAGACACTTACACAGCTAAGGGGGGACACATGATCAGCTATGAAGACTGCAGGGGAGGCGGCTTGAAGGCTGCCAGCTGGGCACCTCGGCTGAACCTATCCTGGGCACCTCGGCTCGCTGGCTGGGGTCAGTGTTTCCACCATGAAAGACTGCCTGAGTTTCGAGATGGATATTGTCCCCAGGCAGCCCGAGGCTTTCCTTGGCCGTGGAGATCCCTTCCCCATTCACAGCCGAGCTCTTCTCTGCCAGCTCCTTGCTCTGCTTGAAACCCTGATCTCCAACTCCTGCAGCCGGCACTTCTTCTGCTGCACGCCCCCTGCTCATACTCATGTAGCCACTCTCCTTAAGGCCTCCACCCAGTGCCCCCGCTTGCCCTGGGTCCCCAAGTTTGGGGGGTGCTGAACCCTTGCCAGGACCAGCTGGAGGGACTGGCAGCCGCAGGCACCAACCTTATAGTTTCATAGTTTCAGGGTCGGAAGGGACCTAATAGATCTTCTAGCCCGACCCCCCGCCAGGGCGGGAGAACAACCCAAAAAAAAAAACCCAAAAACACACACCCTAAAAACAAAAACGGGACGCAAATGAGTCCAGCCAGGGCCTCTGCTTAAAGACCCCCAGGGTAGGGGCCAGCACCACCTCCCTTGGAAGTTGGTTCCAGCTCCTAGCCGCCCTAACTGTGAAGTAGTTTTTTCGGATGTCCAATCTGTACCTCCTCTCCATCAACTTGTGCCCATTACTCCTTGTTATGCCAGCGGGGGCTAGGGGAAACAGCGTCTCCCCCAAACCCTTCTGGTTCCCCCTAGTGAGTTTATAGACGGACAGGAAAAGAGGGCAGGAAAAGTGATGAGCATTTATTGTTCGGCTCCTGTGGTACCAGAGACACAACTCCTTCCTCCCCTTCCCAGGCTGCTGTCTCCAAAAGCTCTCCCCTGTCCTGGGAGGCCCAGGGATGCTCAGTATGGCCCCATCTCACCTCCCAGCTGCTGGCCTTCGCCCTTGCAGACAGTCAAGCACTGTGACCTGGTGGCTGGCATGGGAGGGGAGAGCCTGACCTGCCAGGGATACAGCAGCCCGTCCAGCTACGCCAGCGCCATGCTGCTCTAGAGGCTGCTCGGAAGCACGGCCTGGCCCTCTGCTCCCACGCCCTGCTCCCTGGAGCCCTGACCCGGGGCAGGCCAGGCAGGAGAGCTCCCGCAGGCTGGGGACCTGGGGCAGCTCTTCCTGTAGCCGTAGCCTTGGCCCCTCCTTGCTCCTCACAAGACTCCTGCTCCGTGCTCCCAAGCTCAGACCTGAGGGGTGAGGAGCCATCGCTCAGGCCTCCCCATCAAGCCTGGCCACCTCAGAGCCTCCACCTGCATCCCGGTGCCCATTCAGGACTGCAAAAGCAGCTCTGCCAGGGGGGGATTTTCCCCAGCTCAGGACAACCAGGGCTCTGCCCAGGTCTGCTGTAGTTATTTAAGTGATCCTGTTCTGGCAATACAGCACAGGGGTCTGCTCAACACCCTTCTCGCTAAGCCATGGTGTGAGGATGGGCATCCTCCCCGCATGGTGTCTCCAACACCCAGGAGAAGCCTAGAGCCACCGAGTGTGCAAGCAGCAACATAGTGCCCCTCTGCTCAGCACCGGTCAGGATGCATCCCGAGTGCTGCGCGCAGCTCTGCGCCCCATGCTTTGAAAAGGACGTGGAGAAGTTAGACAAGGTCCAGAGGTGGGCAACAAGGGTGATAAAGGCATCAGAAAGCAAGACATACAAGGAGAGGCTGAAGGGCCTATTCAGTTTGCAGAAAAGGCACTTAAGAGGGGACATGACATCAGTCTTCAAGTTTTAAATATATTTCCTGTTCCAGGTCAAATCAGCCAAGTCAGTCCCCGATTGAGCAGGCACAACTCACTCACTCTAAACGCCATGTCTACTACGACCGGCAAGCAGCCTCCGTCCCAGGCTCTCACCCTGGGACTTCAGATACGCCCAAATCCACTGGCAGGCATGCTACGTGTAGGCCCAAGCCCAGAGGTCTTGGGATTTGGATGCCCCCCCTTGATCTTAGCCCACAAGAGGCCGAGACACTTGATCTGAGCCAGAAGACTGAGAAGCAGTCTTCAAATACTGGAAGGGCTGCCAGGAAGAAGAGAGAAACCACCTTTTCTCTTTTGCTGCAACGTGGATGTGGACCCAGTGGCTTGCAGTTGCAGGAAAGCAGGTTTAGTTTGGATCTCAGGAAAAACGTCTTCGCCGTTAGAGCAGGGAGGCAGCGGCATAGGCACTTCGGGAAGGGGTGGACTCTCCATCACGGGAGGGGCTCAAGGAGAGGCTGGACAGTCCCTGGTCAGGGGTGATCTAGGTGCAGCGATGCCTGTGTTATCTTAGGAGGATTTCCCAGGCTTCTGGGCTTTGCTGGTGGCCCCGGCCCCACTTTCTGCTACAGGGATCTCCCTCAGAGGCTGCAGCCCAGGGCTGGACTTGCGCCGGGCTGGGCCAGTGCTCCTGCTGGGGCTCAAACGCCGAGGTTCCTGGCTGGAGGGTCTTGCCCCTCTGCTCAGGAGGAGCAGGGCCCTCTAGCCAGGGAGCAAGAAGTTTTGGGGCAGGAATTTTCTGCTGCATTGGGGGCAAGAAGGAACTGCCCTGGTCAGTCTGGCTCGGACTGGCGGGGCTTTTGCCTTCCTCTGTAGCAGGGGCACAGCCTCTGCCTGGCATCTCTCTGGTGTGTATTAACAACCTTTGCAGCAGCAGGACGTTGGCTGCTGCGGTTCCCCTGCTTTCCCTGTGGCCGGTGCAGGTGCGATGTCTGGTGCTGCGCTGGGGGTGTCTGTGTGGTTTTGCTAAGAGGCTGGACAATTGGTTTGTCTGGGTTGGTGTGGGTCGGCCTGGTCCTGCCTCCATCAGGGGGTTGGACTAGTTGATCTCAAGAGGTCCCTTCCAGCCCCACTTCTTTATGATTCCTATCATTTCTCTATGAAACTGGAGGCTGGCAACCAGGGCGGGACCCGGCCGCATATCCGACCCCAGCGATGCTCCCAGTCCCTCCACAGCCCCACACTGCAGGGGCCTGGCTGGATGCAGGTGGGTGTTAAATGGGAGCAAGAAGGTCACTCTGGGTCCTGATCCAAACCCACACGGCCAAGAAAAAGCCCCCGGCTGGACTCCTGCCCCAGGGGGAATTTCTGGAGCAGTCAGAGGGGAAGCAAAGCAAACCACAGTCCCACTGGGACTGGGATAGGTGGGCCTGAGACCCAAGGACCGTGGGGCTGGGTCCTGGCAGCAGGAGTTGCTCAGAGCAGGATGGCATGTTGGGGGCAGGGGCAGCAAGAGCAATCACAACCTGCTCAGAGATATGCCCAGGGCGGGGGGCGCAGGTGTATGCCTGGAGGGCTCGAGGGCTCCTTGCTGTCCCACTCCCAGGGGAAACAGGCGGTAGAGGCTGCACACCGCTCAGCGGGAGCCTGTCTGCCTCCAACCTGGGTCAGAGGAGAGGAAAACTCCAGGTTCTCGGGGGACTCCCCTCTCCCACCCTCCTCCTGGGGCAGACAGGTCTGGCCTGACCCAGAGGCAGGACCCCCAGTCTAGCAGCTATTTGGGCATCCTGGTAAGACATATTTACATTCAATCTACTGGGCCTCAGTCTCTGCCCACTGCCGGCCAAACTACACAGGCCCATGCCATGGCAAACCCTTGCCATCAATGAAATCACTGGCCTCGTTCCACCGAGGTGGCCGCTTTTCTCTAAGGGGTTGGAGGACGATGTGCTGGGGGAGTGGGTCTGTCTCCAAGGGAGGTATTTGCTCAAGGGTCTATTGGTGCATCTCAGGGGCACTGTTCAGAGCCTGCCAGGCCTTGGCACAGACATGGGAACAGAGGCAAAGCAGCCACTCTGGGTAACCCCTCCCTGGCTGCTGCTCCTATTGGGAACATCCCTGGGCCATCAGCCCTGTCCCTACCCCTAGCTGCCCATGAGGAAGTGGCTACTAGCCTCTAGCTTGCTGCTCCTTATGCCTGACCCGGGGGAAGGTGCCTCTCGTGCCTCTGGCTGCACCGGGGTGGGGTGCTGCTGTCATCGCTTTGCTCTGTGCTACTACACAAGCTTGGAGGGACCCGCTGACAGCTCCTGGGCATGGCTGGGAGCGGGCTCAGCTTCCCCCATCCTCCTGCGGGAAGGGAGCCGGAGGCCCTGGCTCTCCTGCTTGGCTGTCCTCCCCAGGCAGTGTTGTGTCCTCGGGGCAGGTGTCCCCGGTGCTGGGAGCCCTGTCCTGGTGCACCATCACCTTGACAGGCGAGGCCTCCCCAGAGCCAGGCGCATCCTGGCTGAGCTTGTGGAGGGTGTCACGGACCCTGCGGATGTAGCCGTGCAGCATGCTGGCCGCGGCTGGGGGGCTGGCGTGGGTGCGGCTGGCAGCCAGCCCATCCCTCAGGTGCTCCACCTCTGCGTGCAGGCATAGCATGGACTTGTTCAGCTCCGTGATGTGGTTACCCAGGTCTGTCGGCAAGGGAGAGGTGCGGGGACCCTGGGGACCCACAGCATCATCTCAGTACATGGGCCAAGTGCAGCCTGGGGCATCTGCCCCACCATCACACCCAGGGCAGGGCTGGCATCAGCTCTAGCCAAATCAGCCTGGAGTCACCCTGTTGGCTCCAGCAGCATGGCTCTTGCTTTGCCCAGCTGCAGCTGGCAGCTGTGAGGGGAGCACACTGGGCCCACCTTCCCATGCCATCGACCCCAGGGCAGTGCGAGCCTGGATGAAAAGCAGGAAGCTCCATCTCTGCCATATCACACCCCCCTGCTACCCCTGAACTGAGTGATCAACCCACGGCCCAGCGCAGCCTCTGCCACCGGGGCTAACGGAGCAATTGCACCAAGTAGCAGCAGCAGAAGGTTGTTACCCTCTGGTGAACCAGTTGCTACAAGGGGACCCAGAACATGCTCCCTGCTTTCCCCCTGCCTTCAGACCTGTGTTGGGAGGTCCCAGCCAGGCACTCCCTGCCCTGGGGGCAGATGGCGGCAGGGGATGGGTTAGCTTTCCTCCTGCTCTCTTCAAACTCCCGCCTGGCCGTGTCGATGTAGCGCTGCACCAAGGCCTTGAGCACCTGCAGCCTGTAGGAGCCACGGCTCTCTCCCTGCAGGATGGTGTCGGCCAGGGCTGAGGTAGCCTGGGGCGAGGAGGGGGAAGAGGAATCGCACAGGCACCAGGGAACGGTGCTGCTTACCCTTCACCCAGCCCCGCAGAACAGCCTCGCACCCAACGGCACTTCTCCCAACGGCCTCACAGCCCACGCAGCTCCTCCCTGCCGCTGTGTTGTAGGACACTTACAGCGGTGGGGATGGAGGGGCAGTCCTGCTGCTTCTTGGCTTTGCAGCAGCAAACGAACTGGATGACGCCCCTGGGGAAGACAGGAGAGCGTGGGCTACAAGGGGCCAGGCAGAAGCAGAGCCGGCCCTGCAAAACCCACGCTGGAGCCCACAGCCAGGTCCAAGCCCTTCCAACACCTGGGCCTGCTGCCTGGGATTGGCCCATTGGAAAGATGAGCCCATTTCATGGCACCGGGAGCCAAACAGCTCCAGAATTCAGGGGGGTTGTCTCCCATGCTGTATGCCAGCTCTCTGCGGTGCGCCCACCAGTGGTTTTATCCCTGGATTCACTCAATATATTACCTTATCAAGGCACAGAGCAAGGAGTGATTTGATTGCAATGGGCAGGTGTCTCCAGGGACAGAAAAAGATGCCAGAGGCCAGGAATTTCTGTAATCCGCTAAGGAACAGGCAGAACAAGAGCCAGTGGCTGGATGTGAAACCAGGCAAATTCAAATGAGAAATAAAGGCGCCCGTTTGTAAGGAGCCAAGCCCCAGGGCATCCCTTCACACCCCCCAGGCCATGCTGGCTGCCCCTCTCCTGTCTGGCAGTCCTGCTTTAGCCAGACACAAGATCCCAGGCTCAGCGTGGAGGGACTGCTGCGACGTGCACTGGCTGGCATGGTGCAGAGCGTCAGGCCTGGTGATCTAGTGATCCCTCTGGGCCGTGAGGTCTGTGAGCCAGCTCCCCGCGAACGCCTGGCCGGTGGGAGCACACTGAGTCCCCTTCCCTCTCTGCTCCAGAGACCTCGTCAAGCGATGGGGATTTCTGTCTAAACAGCTGGCGTTTCCCAGTTGCAGAAAGTCTCTTTTCTTGCAAGTCATGGGAAAGGTTTTTAGAAATCTTCAGACTGTCAAACTAGAGAGACAGACAGAAATGCTAATTATCTTCAGGGTGGGGTCTTTTTTAATTTTCCATTGACATTCTCTGCTTATTTTTCCTTTTGTCCCAAACTGGGGGAGGGAGAAAAAGGGAAGATTCAGTATTTTCAGTCTTATTTGTGTTTGTTTTCTGGCTTTCATTCGTTGTACCAAAATCTGAAAACTTCTAACCCTTCCCTCCCAAACCTTTCCTGTCATTTGGAAGAAAAAAGCTTAGTGCCATATTCATTCACATCTCACACTCACCTTTTGGCTGAAAAATGACCCACTGAAAATTGGGGGGTGCTTTAAATAAAAAAAAACAAACTGTTTCTGAATAGTTTGGATAAAAGCCAATGTTTTTTTTCTCTTCGTTCTGCCTTCCCAGAACAAGGCGCATAACTTTTTGGGAAGGGTGTGTGGTATGCGAATAAACACGGCATTGTTTTTTGGAAAGCCCCTGAGGGCTGTCCTTGCAAAGCCTCTCTCCCTGCAGCACAGAGAAAAAGGGCTAGTGGACAGATGGTCTGGTGATGCAGCCATGGGGCGAAGAGCCAGTAGCTCTGGGTTCAGTTGTCAGTGGTGGCTGTGGGGACCTTGGGCAAGTCCTTCCCTCCTCGTGCATCTCAGCTCCTGTCTGCAAAGCGGGGCCTTGCTGGTCTCTGTCTCCCAGGGGGTGGGTGAGCTGATAGAGGTGCCTCGTGCCCTGAGACAGGTGGGGGCCCTGGCATTACCTGGCCGTGTACAAGAGGGACTTGGGGGTGGGAATGACGTTGAAGGGCACAGGCAGCATCAGGCCCTCCTGGAAGTAGGACAGGTAGAGCTCGGAGCGGGCAAACTTCCACTCCACGTCGGCATCATCCTGCAACACAAGCCGGGGGGGCAGCTCAGAGCCGTGGGGTCGTGCCAGCCTTACAGGCATGTACAGGAGTTCCCCAGCTGGCCTGCGCTCACCCCCTTCCCTGGGTCACTGAGCATGGCCCTGGCATTGGGCAGCCTGTCCTGCCTTGCATGCTGGTAGTGTACAGGGAGTGAAGCATGGGGCTGGGTGGCAGGGGGCGGGCACTGGGACATGAGCGGGGCAGGGGGAATCCCCCCTGGAAAAGAAGGAGGCAGACACAGGGGTCCTGACCCCACTCCCAGGGTGCAGACTTCTCATCAGTGCAAATACTGGATTGGCAAGGCTAGGTCTGCCACGTGCCCACCTGGCATAAACCTCCAAGGGATCCTTGTCTGAGGGGAGCCAGTGACTGTTCCCCACCGTGCCGGAGGGGTTTAACTTACAGATGGGACCAGCAGGGCCAAAGGCCGGGGGTCTGCCCCGGACAGAGGTGTGGTATCTGGGCCCCCTGGGTTTCACCCTGACTGTGCCTCTGTGACAGAGAAATGCAGCTGGCTCTGGGGTGGCATATACTGGTGGTCTGTGCTATGCACAGTACGGATTCTGCCTGGAGGGGTGAGTGGGATGAGACAGCTTCTACCAGCCTTGCCCCATCCGCTCAGGAGGGCTCGCTCCCGGCTGGTCCCCTCCCGCACCATGGGCCGGGCTCCTAACGGGGCTGACCTCGATCTTCCGGAAGGAGTTGGTGATCATAGCAATGAGCACGTTGAGGAGGATGATGACCACAACGATGGTGAAGATGCCGTAAAGCGCCCGGCCCACAAACTGGGCCACGAGGACCCGGGGCATGTCCACCACGCGGTGTTCTTCCATGCCGAACATGGTCCAGAACAGGAACGGGAACGTCTCGTTGAAGCTGCCGCAGAGCGGGTAGGGGGTTACCAGGGGGATGTGAGCTCAGCGCGGGCCTGATCCGGCTCGGAGCTACAGTAGGCACAGGACCATCGACCCCCGCGAGTCTGGGGCCCCGCAGAGCCGTGCCCGCACCCGCACACCTAGTCTACTGGGAAGACCCTTCCAACCCCAACCCTCCCACCTGACTCTGAGAGATCCTCCTCTCTACTGGAAGGACACCCTGCTGGGGGAAAGCCCTGGCGTTCTGGACTTTAGACCTACGTCCTCTCATTTCCTGTCTACACTGATCCGTGACCGGGGTGTGCCCGTGTGCTCTGGGGCCAGCGGTGTGCATTGGCTTGGGGACCTCTCCTCCCTTCCCCGGTGCTTGCTTCCAGGATGGGTTATAGGCAGGAGTGCTCTCCCCACCAAGCAAACCCAGCCCAGCTCTCTCACGACAGGCTCTCCCTCCCTCTCACCCCCAGCAGCACCTTCCTGACCCTGCTGTGGCCCGAATCCAGCTTCCTTAACCACGGGTGACTAGCTCCATACACGTTACTCCAGCCATGGCCACAGAAGGACCTGGTGCAATGGCACTAACGCTGCCCTCTCTCTGCTGGACATGCCTGAGACTGTGCTGGCCTTTCCCTTTCCTTTCTGCATTTCCCAGGCCCCGTGGCCTGCCCTGTGGCTCCAATCCGTGGAGAACTGTCTGCCCGTCCCCACCAGACCCTGGGTGCAGAGGCAGGGCTGGGGATGGTCGTACTTGCCCAGCCGCTCGGACTCCTGGTAGTGCACGTAGATGTTGTTGAGCCCGCACAGGAAAGCAGTGAGGATGATCATCAGGATGAACATGAACCTGCAAGGGGAGGCCAGGGAACGGCATCAGAGGGCAGGGAGCCCCGGGCTGGGCAGGCTGCAATGCAAAGGGCATTCATTTCTCGGTCCCCCAGCAGGAAGCCAGCTGAGACTGGGCCCTGGAGGCTGCATTGCTTCCCTGTGCAGGGGGCCATGCCACTGGGCAGTCGGGCTCCAGCTGGGGCTGGGCTTCGGTCTGGGACAATGCTGCCTGCAGGCAGGGAGCAGCCTGTACCATGGGTTTGTCTAGCATCTAGCACTGGGAGGGTGCCCTCTCCAGGGCCTCTGTGACCTTATGCAGCCTGCATCCCATGCCCAGCCCTGCAGTCTGAGCCCACATGTTCAGGGGGGCAAAGCACCCACGGTGGGGGCAAAGGGGGGGCTCACTGACTTCAGTGAGGCTTGGACAGGGGTAGCAATGCAGCAGCGTAGCCCAGCCGCTCCCTGGGTCTTGTCCCCAACTCCCTGGCCTGTCCCTTCCCCTCCTTGTGCCCTGGATCTATAACCTTTGACCTTTATAAGGGTCTTTGGCAAGGCGGGGGTTGCCTTTCTTGGTAGTTGGGACAGGATCTGACCCTGCGGCTGCAACACCCGAGCACTGGCCGTCCCAGTGCTCAGCTCTGGGCTGTTACAGGTGCTCTGGGTTTCTGCCCTGTTATTTGGGCGAGGGTGTGGGGGGGACCCGTGGGGCAGCACACACAGGGGCTGGGCACGCTGGCCGAGGGGGCTGCTCCTGCATCCCCGTCTTGCATTTTTCCCGCAGAGCTAAGAGCTTTTATCACGACTGCTGTTACTGCAGCGCCACGGCTGCCCTCGGCTTAGCGCTGAAGCAGCTGCTGTCTCAGGCTCATGCCCAGGATGAGGATTGCTGAGATTTGTCTCAACACACGGCCAGCATCCCCTCCTGCTCCTGGGCACTCCTGGGCAGATCCACGGCTGGATACACGGACTCGCCCTGACGCCTCGTGGCAGGCAGGGGGAATGCTCTGGCTCAGGAGGATACGCAAGCTCTCAGCATTTTGCTGTGGTAGGATCATTGCACGTCACCGATAAATGTCCCTGCAGTGGTATCACCAGCCGACACAGCCGGCAACGGGGGCTCAGGGCAGGGAACAGACTGAGCCTGGGATATCTTGGCTGATTTCCCACATAACCTGCCGGGAGGGATGGCCGGGAGTGTTTTGGGGGGAGCATGCAGCGCACTGGGGCACGAGAGGGGAGGGAGGGAGATGTGAGGTCATCTGTGCTAGACAATCTCTCTGAACACAGGCTGTAGGGATATGGGATAGATGGGGACTTCGGGGTCCCTCGGTCTCCCCACAAGAGGCAGAAGTACCGAGGGAACAGGGTGGCCCATGGGGCTGGGTACTGATGGAGAGTCTGTAGATGTGAGCCCAGGCCTGGCTGGGAGTCATCAGAGTCATGCCCCGGGAATGAGCCTCAGCCCCGTCGTTCTTGCACAGGAAGCACAGTCCTGGTTGTACTCCTTGGCCCCTGTGTTAGCAAGAGTGACGTGAGTGGAGGCAGCTGCCGTCCCAGACCAGGGGCTGCTGGACAGGGCTGGGGGCGGCACGTCCCCCCGGGGAGCGGCTGGAGCCCCAGCAGCAGCACTGCGGGAGCTCGCCGGCCTTGGTGAAGTAGTAGCACTCGGGCGAGGAGGGGGCGTCCCAGCAGCGGTACCGGCCCGGCACGGAGACCAGCACCCGCAGCACGAAGGAGGCCGGGTACATGCTGAGCGTGACGATGTCCAGGAAGCTCCACCAGCCGAGCAGGTAGCTGCGCAGCCCTTCGATCACACCTCCTTGCACTCGCACCAGAAGGAGCCTGGCGGGGCGAGGGGATGGGCAGGAGCAAGGGGGCCCTTGTGCCTGGCACCTCTCCAGGGACTGAATTCAGGCTCTGGCGAGGGCTGGGCTCAGGTCCCCCACTGATAACCAGCCTCCCTCTGGTGTGAGTCTGCCCGGGCTGGAAACTCCTTGGGACAGAGACTGCTTCTGACTCGGGGCCTGTATAGCATCCCGCGGGGCCTGGGGGATACGTCGAGGCACAGGACTGGCAGGGACCAGCTGGGGGAGCGAGCACAGCCCCTGCTGGGGCCAGGACCCCAGTCCATGATCTACCGTGGAGGCCTCCCTATGGCCACAACGACGCCCTTTCCAGCAGGCTCAGAAACAAAATCATTGCCACCCGGGCAGGGAAAGTCCACCAGGTCCAGTGCTGGTCCTCACTGGAGGTCTCCGACCCTATTAACCCAGCTCACCGGACTCTAGAGAAGTGAGAGCTTCCCCCAGAGAGAATTAATTACTGGCTCCCTGCTTGAAAAGGGACGTCAGCCACCCGAGGCTGAGGAAAGGCAGGTCATCAAAACCATACAAAAAAGGGGAGGCGAGGGCTTGTACTGCTCTGATTTAAACGTAATGTTTGCCCACTCCTACCCCAGTGTAAGTGGGTGAAGGTACTGGAACTGTTAGACCAATATGGGAATGGACAGATGGACCAGTTATATCGGTGCCTCTTATACCGGTATAATTTACTGCTGGTCTATCTGCTACTTGTGTCCACACCCGCAATCCCCACTGGCTCACAAGACCCCTCGTACACAGCTCACCCTTCGTGATTTCTCTTCTCCCAAGTGCCAGGACCCTGCTACTTGGGGTGACGCTGCCACTGGAGGTGACTTGCCTGAAACCTCTGCCTCAGGCCCCAGTGGCGAGGCCTTCTCTGGGGACCTACCTCTTTCCAGGGGATCATTAGCTCTTGGCCCGTGGCTGGCTCTGGTGTAACTAGCTGCCTTTGCCTCATCCCACGGGTGGGTTCCCGTACGGAAACCACCGTCCCCACTGCCCCTGTACGGACACGTCTGACGCCAGGAACTGCCTGGGCCCTGGAGACTAAATCCCATCTCAGCTCCAGAATCAGCCCCAACCGGAGGCAACAAGCACTGGACCTGAGCGCCATCAGAGCCCTGCTAGGCTCCTGGGGCAGGCTCCTGCCAGCGCCCCTCACTGCCAGGTTGCTGGAGCTCTGGACCCTGCCAGGGCTCCCTCCCCGTGACCTACCTGCCACCCAGACCATGTGCCAGGAGTTGCCCCACAAGGTCCGGCTCCGGCCCAGGAAGTCTTTGTGCTTGCGCTCCAGCACCACGGGCTCCAGCAGCGGGAAGACCAGGAACCAGAGGTACGAGGCAGAGGGCAGGAGGAACTTGATCACGGGGATCTTCAGCATTTTGCCCACCTGATGGGAGAAACTTTGTCTCGCCTGGAGCAAAACTCAAGGCCATTTGGCTGCATGGTCAGGGCCCACCAGGCAGCAGGGACTTAAACGGGAGCAAGCGCTTAGGAGCAGACCTCAGTCTCCATGAGGATTCGGTCCAGCAGACCTCCAGCTCGGGTGCATGAAGGGAGAATTCATCCATTATCAGGCAAAAAGGGGCTGCAGCACCCCCTGGTCTGTGTAAAACAGAGTGCAGAGCTGCCCTGAGCTAGCACAGGTTGGAGCCGGAGCTAAAAGGACCTTGATTTTAAAAGTGCTCAGGACACAATCCACTCCCAGCCCCAGCAAGCAGGTTTAATGGCCAGGTGCAGCTGGTGCTCAAAGTCCACACTTCGGTTTCACTCCCAGTTTGCCCAGCCTCAACATCCAGCTGTTGGACCTCGTTGGATTTGTGTCACCTGGAGGAACAAGCTCATCATCCCAATTGTGCTCCTGTGGGAGAGGATCCCATCATCCCTCCATCCTCTCTCGGTCAAACCGAGCTCTTGCAGTCTCTAGCTATGAGCCTCAGTCTCCCTACGCCATTCTTTCTTTCCCTTCTCTGAGGCTGCTCCAACCTACAGTGGCGCAAGGCTGCGGGAAGCCCACACCTGGGTGCAGCGATCCAGCAGCAGCTGTGCCAGAGCCTGCTCGCATTGGGTGTCCCCCTTCATACAGCCAAGGACAGCATTAAGTCTTGGACCACTGCCTTGTCCCTGGGGGCTCCCCGGCAGCTGGTAGCCATCATTGCCCCTCAGCCTCTCTCTGAATGCACCGAGAAGGGGCAAGAGCCTGGTGGAGACCAAATGCATGGGGGTAATTGCACATACATATGTGCGCACACACACATACATACATACACATGCATGATTTGTTCAGCTCCAGGAAGGGAGATCATTAGAAGTGCCAGTAGGTTTTTATGGGAGACAGGTATTACCAGGCCGGGTCTTTCTGGGGGTCCTTTTGTCTGGAAGGGCCAGAGTCAGGTGTTTTGGAGGCAGCTGTAAGAAGCTGGCAGCAGGGTGGTGCAGGAAACCTTCTTCCCTGAGCCCCCTTTTCCCTTTGCAGCAAGGCCACTTACCCGGGACTTGGGAGCAACCCAGCAGAGCGGGCACAGGATGGGCATGGTGAGGAAGATGGAGCAGGAGACAAAGAGCTTCCAGAGGGTGTTGCTGCCACGCCAGCCGGACAGGTTCCCGCACCAGATGGATGACAGCGCTTGCTGACAGATGGGGTGGGCGACAAACTGGGCCAAGATGAGAGAAGGGGATCAGAGGGTCAGTACCAGCAGCCCTCACGGTGACCCATCGCTTCCCCCTCTTGCTAGGCAAACACTGCTCCCAGGAACATACAGGAGCTCTCTCAGGATGCACAGGGGGCCTTCGCCTACCAGCAAAATGCAGCTGACTCTGGGGTGCAGCACACTCCCATGCCCACACTGGGGTGAGAGCATGAAGCAGAAGTTCATCTCAGATCCCAGCGGCTGCTGCAGGGTGGAGTTTAGGGAGGTTGAATCAAAAAGAGCACATTGGAACCAGGACGCCAAGGTTTATGTCCTGACCCCAGCCAGAAGCACCCAGAGTTCATTAATGATCCCTCATTAGAAGGGACCCCTGCAACACCCTGGTGGGGAGCTTCCCTAGTGCTGGCTCAAGGGGGACTGCAACCCTCCTAGCTCTGACGCCTGCCCGGCACTCACCCTCTTCTGGTCGTAATGGACGGCCAGGTGGAGCCGGGCCAGGTTGGGGATGCCCTCCTTGAAGGCCTGGCTGCCCAGACCGTCCTCCTCGCTGCCCAGACCCTCCTCCTCACTGCTGTCCCCCAGGTCGTTGAGCATGGCCGCCACCTCGCTCCGGTTGCGGCACATCCCCAGCAGCTCGAAGGCGAACTCCTGGCTCAGCTGCTCCAGGCGCAGGTACTCGGGCTGCGGGAGGAAGAGCACGGCCTAGAGGAACGCCTGGGAGCCCTATCTTGTAACAACCTGAATGCACAATGATGGGACCCCAGCACCAAAGGCAGATGATTCAGCAGAGGAACTCACTGCTGCAGGCGCTGAGATGCTGAGACTCGCCCAATGCAGCACCACATGCACATGAGCCAAGACTCTTACAGCAACGTCGGGAGTAAACCTACCAGCGTGACAGCTGCATTTGGAGGTGGTCACACAGGGACAACAGTCCCACGACCTGCAAGCACCTATCAGGCAGCTTTTCCTCTCGAAGGATGGGTGCAAGGTTCCTAAAACTGCTACTATGAACACTAAATTATAACCCTCATTTAACACTTTTGTAACCGTAACATGCTGGGGTGCACGCCTGTGAGGTGTTGCAAGGTCACTACCTGGTTAAAACTGAGCAAGCACCTACAGATTTTGTCAGAGCATGGGCATTGTTAATGGTTGTGGGGAAAAAATGAACAGAGAGGAAGGGTATGTGATAAGAGAGGTCTGCAGGGAGGGGTGGTTATGGTATGGGTATGTGTATGCATACATTTTCAAAAATGCCCAATAGTAAGAAATCAGTGATGTAAGTAGTCTGTAAGTAGCCAGCAGCATTAAGTGTAGCAGCATGAATAATGCAGATGAAAAAAAGACAGGTGTAGAAATAGTTTGGGAACAACAGGACATTGTACCACTGCACTACTGGATCATTGCACTACTGGAATACACGCCTGAACATCCCAGCGAGACCCTGAACTGTCGTTTGGGGAATTTAGTGTTGGTGCTTGTCATTTATGGTCAGCTGCTCTGAGCCTTTCTGCACAGAGCAGGATATAAGCTAAATAAAAATAATAGTAACACCTCCATGCTGCCCACCCTGGGCATAATGTGTGGGGTCCTGTGTGCCCCCTGCCTGGCTCACACAGGGTAGGGACCAGAAAGGAGTCCAGGATGGTGCTGAGCCCCCTGGGTCCAAGCCCAGAGCTCCTGGAATAGTTTCACCCTCCGATACGCCCTGGCTCCCTGCTGCCCCGGAGAGCTGCGGCCCAGGAGAGAACCAGGACGGATGGAGACCTGGGAGCCGGCAAGTGCCTGACCTTGAACTCGGGCTCCTTGTGAGAGAAGTGCTTGAGCTCGCGACTGAGCTTGAAGGCAGCAAGCATGGCATCCTCGCTGGCAACCGAGAGGTAGGCGCGGCTGGCGAGGCCCTTATAGGTGCTGATGCGGGAGAGGGAGCACTTGAGCAGGTCGTACTGGCGGGCGCTGGGGCACTCCAGGCAGGGGCAGGAGACGCGGTGGGGGTGGGAGATGGTGTGTCCTTTCTGCATCAGCATGTCCACGATCTCGTAGAGGTCCTTCTCGCAGGCCAGGGTGAGCGGCATCACGCCGGGCGCGAAGCAGGAGGCGTCGATGGTGTTGTCAAAGAAGGCCAGCGAGAAGGACCTGAGGTCCATCTTGAGCCCCTTCTCCTGGTTCAGCCGGTCCAGCAGCAGCTTGACCACGCGGGGCTGGTTGGTGTCCACGGCCACCAGCAGGGCCTCGTGGACCTGGCGGAAGTCGAATTTGACGTAGCGCAGCAAGGACTTGGCCACTTCCTCCCCGCCCGCACGGATGGCCAGGTTGAGGGCTTCCCGCCATGCCCGGTCCTCGGTCTCGTCCAGCTGCCGCAGGATGCCATCGCCCACCTGCAGCAGCTGCTGCACCAGGGGCAGGTTCCCGTCCTGGATGGCGCCGAGCAGCCCCCGCGGGAACTTCAGCTTCCTGGTGCCGATCTCCCTCCAGTTGGGCTGCTGCTGGGGAAGCAGAGCTGGTCGGGTTAGGAGAGACCCTCCACTTCATCCCCCTGCCCACCCCGACCTGCTTTCAACCACCTCTAAGGAAGAGTCTGACATCTCCCATCCCCCTTAGATAGCCCATCCCAAGGCTTCGCCAGGGCTACAAAGCGTCTCCGGTCATCCTGGCCGGGGGCTGAGCCTGCCCCAGGGCCTGTGACCACTCAGCGAACCGCACGCCTTGCTGTCCCACCGCACGCCGGCAGAGAGGACCTAGGAGTCCTGGATCCCAGCTCCTCCGTCCCTCCAGGAGAGGGGCTGGATTCAGTCCTGCCATGTTGCTGGCTGTCATTCAGGGTCCAGGTCTCCTCCTCCACGGCAGCCCCTCAGGGTCTCGCTGTCCTGGTCACTGCTGAGCCGTGGCTCAGAGGCAGCCGGAGGCAACTGGCTCCAGCACACAAGCAGGGCAAGGCCCAACCTGAGGGCCCATCATTCCTTCCTCCCCGTCGGGGCTCAGAAGCAGCTGCTCCCAGCTTGACAGGAGCAGCTCAGTGCCAGAGACTCGTTTCCTCCTGGCTAATTAACTCCCCTGGCATCTCCATCAGGCGCACTTGAACTCACAGCTTGCAACACCAGCTTGCAAGGGGCTGGAGGCAGCAAGGCTGGCTACAAAGGGATAAGCAGGGGTTGCCATGCTCAGGAACCACAGTGCAGAGGGGTCCTCCAAGGGCTGCTCTACAGGGAGGATAACAACCCCCTCCTGCAGCCAGAGAGTGGAGCCCCCTCTCTGGCTCACAGGGCAGGGCTTTGCTGTGGGGATGATGCTCAGCTTGCTGGGGAGCGCTGTCCGTGGCCGGGGTGGTCACACCTTACCCACAACGCCCAGGTGCAGGGGCCGGTCCCTGGTGCACAGAGCTTGGTGGAGGGCTGTTATCCAGGGTCCCTCGGAGCCAGGAGACCTGGGCTCCTGGGTGGGAGGGGGCAGGGACCTTGAGAAATCTGCATAGAAGTGGGGCAAAATTTTGAAGGTGCCCCCCTGCGCACAACCACCACCTGGGGCAGCCGGCCAGAGGAGGATGTGGGCATGCAGCAGGGGAAAGGCTACTGCGATGCCAGGAGGGGCCAGCGCCACCACATCGTGGATCGAGGCAGGCCTGGCATTAGAAACAGGTCTAATGTATGGGTCTGAACCGTCTCTGAGCGAAGCTGGGGGCACAGAAACAAGGGAAGGGGGTGACAGGGCGAGGGGCCACAGGAGCAGGGTCGGGGCTGTTACCCAACCAGCCCTTCCTGCCCTGCAAGGGGAGTGAAGGAGCTGCGCTGCCCTTTCCCGCGACACAAAGCCCCGCGGTCTCTGCAGCACCCCCACCCTCGGTGCAGGCCACGAATGCTTTTCCTTCACCAGTCGCTGACAATAATCGCGTGTGCAGACAAAGCAGGCTCCTGCAGCCGCCCCTGCCTGGATAGGCCGCAAGGCACTTTGCGAGGTGGACCCCAGCTAAAAGGCAGCCACTTCTGGGGTGGGGGGAGGAAGCCGAGCAGAACGCAATACAAGTATGTGCACGGGGGCAAAGGCTCCAGCCCACTTCCCTGCCCCTGACAAACCAGGCTCACAGCACCCCAGGGAAACCACCCGGGACAGCCGGCCCCGTTCGTGTATGGAGAGCACAAGGCTCAGGGCAGAACGATCCCAGAGCACACAGCGCTGCCGGGACCAGCGTCTCTGCAGCCCCTTGGCGGGATGCAGCGCTGCGCCGGCCCGGCCCAGCTGGTTTGGGCTCGGATAGCAGGCAGACAGACCAGGGAGCTACCTCAGCTCCACGGGAAGCCCTCTGCCCTTCCCGGGGCTGCCCTCACTCCTGCCCTGCCCCAGCTCAGGGCGAGCCAGCGCCCGGCTCCCCTGCTCCGCTCCGGGGGTCACTGGGGCCTCGCAGGGTGGCCGGGAGGCAGCGCGTATTTCGCTCCCAACCTGCTCCAAGGATCACAAGGAGCCTGAATTGTCCATCTGGAGATGGCCCAGGGCGAGGTCTTAGCAGGAGCCCTGCCCAGAGACCCATTCGGAGTCGCTGCAGTTGCTCAGCACCGCTGGACCTTCCTCCAAGGAGACCGATGCTCCGAGGAAGGTGTCCGGAGGGTGGGCCGGGGGAAGCAGGTCCCCCCATGCAGCCGAGATGGAGAGGATGCCCGCTACTCACCATGGTGCTCTCCTTAGCAGGCTCGCTGCCCTGCTGTGCCTGCCACGCCGTCCCTGCCAGCTGCACGCCCAAGCCCCTGGTCGCTGGCGAGGCTTCGGCTCAGCACCCACTGACTCAAGGC